ATAAAGTTACTTTTGAGGAATATGAAAGAATATTAAATTTAGATAATGAATTTGTATGATTTTTAGATTTTGAAAATAATAAAGAAAATTCTTGTTCTTTATCTCAAAGTCAAAGTTAAGCTTCTTTACTATTAAAGATTTCAAAAAAACAAAAATTAAAATAATTCAGTAGCATAGCCAATATATATATGTGATTAGAAACAAGTTAACAAGTCAATTCTTTATATTACAATATTAACTGGAGTTGTTTTTAAATAGGTAAATATTATATATACAAAAAAAGTATTTGTAATTGCAAATCTAACTATAAAATTGCCAAATCAGATTAATTTAGCAAGAAAAATTTTAGATAGTAAAAAAAATTCTGTTTAAGATCATTTAATATCTGTAGCAAAAACTGATAAACAAGATATAACATTGATATTTAATAGCTGAAAAAATATTATAAAGCAAAATATATTAAACATTATATTAATAACTTCAAATTGCAAGCTACTAATATGAAAAGCAGAATATATAAGTAGAAATTTACAAAACTGTCAAACAATTTACAAATATGTTACTGTATCAAATTTTTTAAAGAAGCAAATAATAATAATATTATGATTATTGCATTAGTAACTGATTTAGTATCAGAAAATACTATAGCAAGGTAAATTTAATTAAGCTATAAAATATATGCATATTATTAAATAAATATAAATATTTATAATAAATATTCTAATTTAGAAAACATTTGCAAAAAAAATTAGAAATAAAGTTTTTTTTTTTGTTTTGTATATTAAACAAATCTTTGTGTAGAAAATATTTTTAAAATATTAAATCAATTTATAAAGACTTCTAGTAAAGCTATTTGTCTTGTTACTTTTTTTAATAAGTTTATATATTTTTTAGCTAAATTATATACAGTACAACAAGAACTTTATAGAAAATATATTGCATTAATGATGCCAAATGATAATTATTAAAATAGCTATTACTATTATTTTAAAAGTATTCCTAAAACCAAAATTGCTTTAAAGGAATAATTATATTTTAAGTTTTAAATATTTGTTTATAAATATTTTTAATAATATTTTTGAATTTTCTTTAGTATAGGTGGCCAATATATAAATATTATAAGATTACAGCATAAAAAAACTCTAACCCTAACCTTAATCTAACTATAAATTATACTATAACCTTCACCCTAACCCTAACTATTTTCAAATTTGTTTAAATTTATTTTTATATATTATATTCTTATAATACTTTTATATTGGCTATCTATACTAAAGATCAACTATATTTTTTTAATAATAATTTATTTTATAGACATTAGTTATCAAAAATTCTATTGAGCCTAAAGAAATTCTCTTTGAAATTTGTAATATGATTAACAATAAGCAATAGTAGTATAACTTACAAATTTAAAAACTTCAATATATCTATTTTGTGCTATATTAAATAAACTTTAGAGAGATAAAGCTCAATTATATAATATCTATATGGTTTTAGATACTTTATAAAAATTTTTAAACAACAAGAGTCTTCTGACTTTCAGATCAAGATAATTGAAAAATTAGAATATCACTAAAAACAATGAGAACAACTATTATTATTAATATCTTTTTTACTTCATCCAATATATAGATTAACAAAATTTAACAAAAATATTTCTAGTGCTCACCATAATCAAATAAAAATTTGATAATTAAATACTTAATAAATATTTGACAATTATAATTTTCAAATCAGGTAATGTATAATCTCAATCTAATTTAAACTTCACATATGATTATTATATTGTATTACCAAATTCTTATATTTGAAATTTTTACAAAATACAAATTTAACTTTATAAATATTAAAAGCTTAAGATTCTATTTTATTACTAGTAAGGTATCAGATTCTCCAGTAGTTTGTTCAAGTCTTACTAAAGATTTGAATCACTTCTAGATCTAAAAAAAGAGTAAAAATCAGTCCAAATAATGAAATAGCAATTTAATCAAGAGTGGAATTACTTCCAGATCTAAAGAAGGAATTAAAAATTATTTAATAGCAATTTATTAAAGAGTAAAAATAAGGAATTTCTTGTAGATTTAAATAAAGATAGATTTAAATAGAGCATTAGTAGAGAAGTATAATTTTTTTTTTATTTAATATAGTTCTTGAACTTCTTTAAATGTCATAGCTCTAATATTCTTTTTTTCTTCTGGGCACCTATAGTAGTGTTCTTTTAGTTCTTAGTACTTTCTGAGAACATATTATTCAGTTAATGTTATAGTGGATGCATTACTCTTAGTATATCCTGGGGCATCTGCATTTTTGTGAGCGTATTATCTTTTTTTTCTTCCTATTTTTGGAAAAATATAAATTTTTTTTTATTTAATGTTTGTTGTTTGTTGTTTTTAAATTTTTTTGAATATCATAGCTCTAATATTCTTTTTCTCTTCCAGGCACCTATAGCAGTGTTGTATATAGATGTTGTATGGCTAAAATTACAGAAACACAGACAGTCCAGGATAATGTTCCATGTCCCAGACAATGTCCTATATCCGTAATAGTGTTTCATTTTATGGGTTTTTCAAATGATCTAATTGGTTAACAAGGCACTCTTATTACAGTTTAATTGTTCAGGACAAAAAAATTTTCTGCTGAGATGTCTGCAGATGTCCCGTCCCGGACTGTCTGCTATTTGTGTCTGTGTCCTATGATAACACTGCCTATAGTAGTATTCTTTTAGTTTTTAGTATTTTCTAAGAATGTATTATTTGGTCTATATTATAGTAAACGTATTACTCTTAGTATATTCTAGGGTGTCTGCATTTTTGTGGGTATATTATCCTTTTTTTTCTTCCTATTTTTTAGGGAAGTACGATTTTTTTTTATTTAATGTAGTTTTTAAATTTCTTTGAATGTCATAGCTCTAATATTCTTTTTCTCTCCTGAGCATCTATAGTGGTGTTTTTTTAGTTCTTAGTATTTTCTGAGAACATATTATTTGGTCTATATTATAGTAGATGCATTATTCTTAGTATATTCTGGGGCATCTGTGTTCTTGTGAGCATATTGTCCTTTTTTTTTCCTATTTTTTAGTAAAATATATTTTTTTTTTATTTGATGTAGATTATGAATTTCTTTAAATATCATAGCTTTAATATTTTTTTTTTCTTCTAAACACCTATAGTAGTATTTTTTTAGTTCTTAGTATTTTCTGAGAACATATTATTCAGTCTATATTATAGTGAATGCATTACTCTTGGTATATTCTGGGGTATTTACATTCTTGTAAATGCATTATCCTTTTTTTTCTTTCTATTTTTTAGGGAAGTATAAAATTTTTTTATTTAACATAGTTCTTAAATCCTTTGAATATCATAGCTCTAATATTCTTTTTCTCTTTTGGGCAATTATTAGTAGTGTTTTTTTAGTTCTTAGTATTTTCTGAAACATATTATTTAGTTTATGTTATAGTAAATGCATTACTCTTGGTATATTCTGGGGCATCTGCATTCTTGTAAGCTTATTATCCTTTTTTTTTTTCTATTTTTTAGGAAAATATGAATTTTTATATTTAATATAGTTCTTGAATTCTTTGAATGTCATAGCTCTAATATTCTTTTTCGCTTCTGGGTACCTATTGGTAGTGTTCTTTTAGTTTTTATTTTTTTTTTTTTTTTTAGTTTTAAGGTGAGGCCTTGCTCATATCTTTATTAGATAATTTATATAAGTAATTACATAGAGACTATATAAAGACTTAATTTCTATACGAACAAATAAATATAAATTACATACAAGAATAGAAGCTCAGACTGATTTATCCGTGACCTAAACCGACTAGAGTGGTCAAGACTCTCTAGATTTGAATAGTTAAAATAAGATTAATAGGTATGCTATATTTAATCCACATAGTAGACCAAATATTGTGTTTAAGAAAGGCTTGTCCCAATAGAGGACATATGTTAGAGTTAGAGTATAGCTGGTCAGCATAGCCACAGAGGCAACTATATGTATAGATAATTCTGTTTCTTTGGTTTCTAGAGAGTAAAAAGGGCTGAGATATAGTATTGATACGTGATGGGATTTGATGAACTTTTTTCCAGCATGAAAAGTTGGAGCAATAGGGGATTCAGATATTATTATAAAGTTGATCAGAAATTTTTAAAAGTATTTTAATAATAAGTTGAGAGGCTTGGGAGTAAGAAATTTTGAAGGGGTCCAGAGATTGGATTAGAGCAATAGGTATGAGACTAATGGTTTGGGCGAAATTATATTTCTATTTCCGAAATATTTCGGATTTTAATAAGTAGTCCGAAATAATAATCCTAAATTCCGAAATCAAGACGAAAGTCTGTTATAAATCCGATAAAAATCCGATATTCTGATAAAAAATCCGATACTCCGATAAAAATCTGATACTCTGATAAAATCCGATATTCCGATAAAAATCCGATATTCTGATAAATCTAACATAAGTCCGATATCATATTTAAGGCAATTGCTAATAAGTTTTTTACTATGGTGAACTAACTATATTTGTATTATAATTAAGTTCACCACGGTTATATATTAGAGAGCGCCATTAATGAATCGAAAAGAACTTTATTTGAGGTCGACTTATAACTTTTATTAATCCTGTACTAATCTGGTACTTTTTTTTTATTAATCTAATGGTTTTTAGCTATCAAACAACAGCGTTCAATAATTTTATCTTCAATAATAATATAGCGAAGTAACTATTTATGTTCAAAGCTATTTATATAATTATATATATCAATGTATAATCAAACTCTTAAGATTTCTTCAATAAAATTGATTTCGTGATAAATATTGTAATTTATCATGCATCTCTAGTATTTCTTAATTATGTATCATGCGTGTATTGTATTTATTAATCATAATAAGTAATAATCAGTTGGGTAATGAGCAATAATGATCAATATTGAACGCCAAACTTTTATTAATCCCGATATTTATAAATTTGTTGGTTAGATGCAAGAAAACATTTACAAACTATATTAGTTTAACATTGCATTGGCCTCTCTTTCAGGATCCCAATCCTCCTCATCATTTTCTAAATTATTATCCCGAACAATAATATTTTCCTCATCAGGAAATTCAAAATTAGTATCAACGATTAATTCACCTAGATCATTTGTGAAATCAATCGCATCAAGATTCAAGATTTCCTCGATTTTTAATACTTCTAGCGGTATGATAGTATCCTCCGTTTCTTCGTTAGTAAGTTCTTCATTCGCTGGTCTTTCTTCATTCCCCGGTCTTTCTTCATTCCCCGGTCTTCCGTCATTCGCTGGTCTTTCTTCATTCGCTGATCTTCCTTCATTCGCTGGTCTTTCTTCATTAAGATGTTCATAATCATCATCATCATCATAAAAATTTATATTAGACAATACTTCATATAAATTTTCAGCATTAGAAGAAAAATATGGTAGCTCATTCTTCGAATTTGCAAGATAAAAAGCAGAAAGCTTTTGCATGTTTTCAATTTTGTCTAAAGAAAGACGCGTACGACATTTTCCATAATACCACCCTAATGTAGACCAGATTCTTTCGCACCCGGCCGCATGTGGTGTAATAGAAAATAGCATATGAGCTAATTGACAAATATGATCCTCATCTTTTAAAAAACAATCCTCCAATGACATCCACCAAACTAAAGGAGATTCACTATCGTCGAATGGTATGTCGAATGGTGCCATATGATGTCGATAGCTTCTCATTTGAGACATCAGCATTTTTCTTTCTTTGAGTTACTTACCCATTTTTTCATAGAAACCATCGGCCGCCAAAAGAATACGCCGGAACGTTCCTCTTGCCCATACATCTGTATTAAGATAAAATTTAGTAAAATGTAAATCAATTAAATTTAAATTTAAAAATAAATAATTTACCAGTGTATCCAGGATGTAAAAAAAAGCATAAGATATATGCATCATCGTCAAACTCTGCAAATCTTCTATTAAAAACTGTAATTGCTTGTTGACGAAAACTACGATAATCATTCTCTGGAAGTCTCCTAATTGCTGCTCCCAAACGAACTAGACCAACGAAGCAATCAGCTAGTGAACAATTTTGTGATTCAAGAATTGATAGGGCTA